AGTGTGTTAGACAGGGATGGGGGCAGAGCCCTCAAAACACATGGCAAAGCACTAAGTTCTTGGTTCTGTGTAGGCAGAGAAAGCATCTTTTGAGAGAGATCTATTTGAGCCTTTCCTATTTCTCGGAGCAACTTGAATCTGACGGGAATGAGGAAGGTGCTGAGTAGAGGGGAAGCTCAGGGAATATTGAAAGCCAGATTTGAACAGGACAAAGTGTGACTGCAGGTTGAGGCACGGCAGCTACCTACCATTGAAAAGAGAGTCCACGGCGCATGTGCAGAGGGGCGTCGAGTTCTACCCTGCCACGTGATGGTTCTGTGGCACTGGGGGTGTTAGTCCTTCACTGCTGCTTTAGTGGAGACTCTGTCTCTTCAGCCGAACATTCAGGATGGAGTCCTTGCCTCTTAGGGTTATTTTGAGGACATTTAATTACCTACATGAAAGTTGTCCACGCATAGGAAGTACTCACCAAGCCATTTGCCAATACTCTGTGTTTTTCACAATGTTACCTATGACTGACCCTCTGCAAGCCTTTGATGTTCCTCTCAGGGCCATTCTGAGAGCTCTGGAGTTTAGGGGAGAAAACAGTGTAGTGTGAAAGAAAAAAAATGGAAAACTCAGATGATCATCAAAATTTTGAGATGGAGCTTTTCTGGTGTTCCTTCCCCAGAGATCTTAGGGAAAATAGGAAATTTAAAATGATGGAAAACAAGATCGAGGCATTTGATTAGCTTTCTGATCCCAGAGTGTCCTAATTATTCCGCAGAGGCCTGATTCCCCATGTAACACTCATTGATGTTATTCTCAAGATCTTCTGAGACTTGCTTGACGACCTGTCTGTACCTCCCACATCCTAGTATAAAGGTAGCTACATTTCATAGCCTAGAAAGGCCCCAGTGAAGTTCCTTAATCAGAAGTGAGAAAATAGGTGCATTTCAGAACGAGAAGTAAGTGTTTGTGTTTTCATGTTCTTTATTTTTAGCCAAGTGGAGATTGCAAAATGTCTCAAATTGAGGCACGGTAATTTGCACCTTGTTTGCGTGAAATAAGCCCAAGCAAAGCCTTCTGTTCTCAGTTCCTGAGTTTGAACCTCAACTAATTTCCTTAAAAAACAGTCTTTGGAATTTCTATTGATCTCCCTTGATAATATTTTACAGATCTGTCACAGGTACAGAAGAATCCAAAAAAAGGCAGAAGTTCTACTTGCTGTAGAAAAACATGAGGACATTTTCAGGCATGTGTGAGCATTTACCTTAAAATAAAGTTCTTAGACCTGGAGCCAGGGGATCTAAAAGCCCTTTACTTTTTTATCTGTCTATCACCTATCATCCATCTATCTATCTATCTATCTATCTATCATCTGCCATCACCAGCTATCATCTATCTCTCTATCATCTATCATCTATCCTCTATCAACTATCATCTACCTATCTTCCATTTATTTATTGTCATCATCCATTATCTATTTATTTATGTATCTATCTATCCAGCATCACCTATCTATCTACCATCTCTCTATCATCTATCTATCTAATCATCTATCACCTATCTATTTCTTTCTGTAATCATATATCACCTATCTATTTCTTTACTTTTTGGCAAGATTTTGAGTGTGTGCATTTATCCTCTTTGTGGATCCATAGTTACGTTGGTTTCATTAGATTTTTATGAAATTTGTATTAGAAAAAAAAAGGAGGAAGTCTAAGGACCATTCTTCCACTGAATTTTTGCTAAGCGTTCTTCCTTAACTTACTTCCTTTTTCTTTTTTTTTTAATTTTCAGAAACAATATGTTTTCTCATTGTCTTGTAACTGAACAGGCTACAAAATTGATCTAGACAGCCAGCCCATTGAGTCGTGTTGCCCTCTAGCACATTCTCACCAGGGCTGAATCCTTGCCTGACTTTTTCTTTTTTTTTCCTTTTCTCCTTTTTCTTCTGTTCAATTCTTCTTTTCACAGGGGTGCTATCCTCCTTCTATATCCCCATTATCAGCTCTGTTAGTCTCTGTGCTCCAGAAACACTTGGCTTCATGGGCAAGCATCTTGTGCAGTTGAACTCACCTGATTTCAGAAGCATGTTAAGCTAGGTTTCATGCCCAGCTGTCACCTTTGTACTGTCCTTTTGCAACTCCTTTGTTGGTTCTTTCCTCATTAGTTAGGGACTTTGCTTGGTTGTAAACTACTAAAGCCACAACTTGTTCAGAAGATACTCACCTTTCACTCTAGCTTGACACAGGCTGCTGGGTCGTCTGTGATCTTCTTTCTCTGCAAACACATGTTATTCATTGTCTTTTTTGTGCCTGTCTAATAAGGACTTCTGTGCTACTTTTGAGTGGATATTTCTGGATCCCAACAAGTCACTGAGTTCATGGGTCCAGACTATTTCATATCTCACAGGCAGTCATTAAGTGATATGCAATAAATGAGTTTTTCTGCAACTGAGACTTTCAAGTCCAATTTCCTGCCATGCGTTTTATAAATTGGAAATTTTGTATGAAATCCTGATCTTTTTTTTCCTTTTTTCTCTGTCCTGGGAACACTGTCTACACTCTTTCTAGGGTTTCCTGAGTGCAAATGAATATGAAATTATCTCCTTTGCCGCCCTTTTGATGTCATTTAAAGAAATATGCTGTTTAATGGGTAATTTCCTGCTAGACACTTCCGGAACTGTAGCTGCAACTCTCTACTGACTTTTGTTCTGCAGTGAAGGTCATTTTTATTCTTGGTAGGAAACTCATAAGTGGAGATGAATCAGGCTTCCAAAGAAGTGAATCATTTACATTTTAGGGAACATCTAAGCTGGGACTTTTGCACTCCTCTGCATGAAACCTATACACATACACACATCCTTAGCAGTTCCAAAGAAAGATCACATATGGTGCCTTTGTCTCCTTTCTTTATTCTTCCTAGAATACCTCCTTAAAATAAGTTCACTGCTTGTGCTCATCCTCCTTCAGTTTGTTGCTAAAAAAAGTCACCTTTTCACGAGTACTTCAGTGATGTTGCTATTTAAAAGTTGAACACCCTCTCCACAAAACTCCATTTGCTTTCTTTTTTTCTTTATTAAAATTTTTATTTTATTTTTTCAGTGTTCCAAGATTCACTGTTTATGCACCACACCCAGTGCTCCATGCAATATGTGCCCTCCTTAATACCCACCACCAGGCTCACCCAACCCCCCACTCTCCTCCCCTCCAAAACTCCATTTTCTCAATTTTTCTCTCTAACACTGCCATTTGAATCATCATTTACTTAGTTGCATTCCTCTTTGTCTCTGTCTACTAGATGCGAATGCTAGAAGGGCAGGGATTTTTGAAGGTTCTGTTCACTTTGGCATCTGCAGGGTTTTATCCACATGATGTGTGGAGTATCAATAAACACTTACTTTATGAACATCTAGTTTGATGTCCACAATGACTTTAGGGGCAGGCAAAACAGATGTTCTCATTCCCATTTACAAATAAGGAAATGAAAACTCATGCTTAAGGATCCTTGGTCATTATCAGTAGCTGTTACTAGAGCATTCAACAAATGTTAAGTACTTACCCTTCTGGATAAAGGAGATAAAGCACAAAAAGACACTGTCATTGGCTTTCTAAAGCTTAGACTAAACTAAGTGTCAGTGACTCATTTTGAAATGAGATAAGAATCGGGCAGGTTTTTTAAAAAAATTGAATATGAGAGAAGGGAGAAGGCAAAAAAAGGCATTTGAGAGGAAGGAAGAGGAAATTCAACACCAGTAATGATGTAAAGGAGAGCTAAAAAAGCCATGGGGATTGTCATACCTATAGATAGAAAGAAGTTGTGATTAACAACATAAATACTGACTATGCAAAACTTGTTTCTTTATTGGCACATTATATCATTACTGTAGACTGCAAAATACTGAGTGAGAATTAATGTGACTTGATGATTCTTTGTTCATTTATTTGCCATAAGTTTACAAAAACTCTATGACTTTTAAAATTGTGAATCTGGGAACATCTACTTTATAATCTCCTGGGTAATTGTTACATATGAAGATACCCATATCCCACATAAGAGGTTCTTAAACAAACTTTCTGTGACTTTTCTTGAGTAAGAAGCTTTCTAAGAAATATCTTTGTACATTAAAATTCAAAAGCTCTTAATTCTCCTAAGGACATGCTGTCATGTCAAGCTCCATGGGGATACGGAGATGAGTAAAACACTTATAAGTAATTCATTTTTCATGCTTACCCAATTTTTTCTTTTAATTTTAAAATTCAGTACATAAAAAGTACTTAGAAGTCAGAGTACGCAGGACATCTGGGAGGCTCTGTTGGTGGAGCATCCAACTCTTGATTTCGGTTCATGTCATGTCTCAGTGTTGTGGAATTAAGCCCCCCAATCCAGCTCTGAGCTCAGCACAGAGTCTGCCAGAGATTCTTTATCTCCTTCTGCCCCTCCACCATTCATCCCCCCACTCACACACATTCTTTCTAAATAAATAAATAAAATCAAACGTAAATAAATAAATAAATAAATAAATCACGGTGCAATAATGAGCTAGACTTTGTCCCTGCCCCTGAGGAAGGAGTATATGAGGAGTGGAAAGTCACATTATGGTGATGTAATGTGCTACAGAATAAATGAGAAGTAGGCAGCTTGTGCTGGAAGCATACAACATACCAAGCCTTATAGGATAAGTAGAGTTTGAGAAGCCAGAAATATTGCAGAGAAAAAGAGGATATGTAGCTCAGTTGTATATATGGATATAGGAATAGATATAAATATTGTTATCCTTAGGTAGAGCTATAGGTATAAATGGAGGTGTCTATATAGAGAAATATAATAATAATTCAATACAAAGACAAATGAAATAATGGATTAGTAGAAGTACAGAATCTGTTTAGGGTAGTATAGTATGAATGATACATGGAGATACTGAGAAAAATCATTTCAATAGTCAGTAATATGATTTGTACCTTCCTGTCTCCTTCATTTCTATTGTTTCTAGCACAGGTCCAGACTCTGAGAAAATGTCCATCACAAATGAGAGTGCAATAACAGAATTCATTCTTCTGGGGCTTACAGATAACCCCGAACTCCAGCCTCTCCTCTTTGTGCTGTTTCTGGGTGTGTACCTCACCACCCTCTTAGGCAACCTGGGCCTGATATTATTGATCAGGCTGGACTCTCACCTTCACACGCCCATGTACTTCTTCCTCACTAATTTGGCCTTTATAGACTTGTGCTACACCTCAAATGCCACCCCACAGATGTTGAGTAATTTCTTGTCAGAGAAGAAGACCATCACCTTTGCTGGCTGCTTTACACAGTGTTACATTTTCATCGCACTTCTCCTCACTGAGTTTTACATGCTGGCAGCAATGGCCTATGACCGCTATGTGGCCATATGTAACCCTTTGCACTATAGTATGAAAATGTCCAGGCGTGTCTGCATCTGCTTGGCCACATTTCCTTATGTCTACGGCTTCTCAGATGGGCTTTTGCAGGCCATCCTGACCTTCCGCTTGAGCTTCTGTAGATCCAATGTCATCAACCACTTCTACTGTGCTGACCCACCACTCATTAAGCTTTCTTGCACCGATACTTATGTCAAAGAGCATGCCATGCTCATATCAGCTGGCTTCAACCTCTCCAACTCCCTCAGCATCATCCTGGTGTCCTACGCCTTCATTATTGCTGCCATCCTCCGGATCAAATCAGCAGAGGGAAGGCACAAGGCATTCTCCACCTGTGGTTCCCACATGATGGCTGTGACCCTGTTTTATGGGACACTCTTCTGCATGTATGTAAGACCACCTACAGACAAGACTGTCGAGGAATCCAAAATCATAGCTGTCTTCTACACCTTTGTAAGTCCGCTGCTTAATCCACTGATATACAGTCTACGGAACAAAGGTGTAAAGCAAGCCTTGAAGAATGTCCTCAGAAGAAATATGGTCACTAAGATGGAACTGCCTCCAATTTCCAGTAAATCATAAGTAAATCTTTGGCTCAAATATCTTTGCATCCTGATGATGTATTTTGATATTTTCTATGAATATGTCTCAAATGTCTCAGCTAAAAATCTCAAGTCTGGGAAAAAATGAGTTTCACTTATTAATCTAGGCTCTTGTCCCTCAACATGTGGTCCACAGATCAGCAACAACATCATCTTGGGGTTTATTAGAAATTTAGCACCACATTCTGCTCTTAGATCCACTACATCCAAATCTGGGTTTTAATCACATCATAGTGATTTGTAAGCATATTAAATTTGAGAAGCACTGCTCTAAGAGAAAATTCCCACTTAATATGTCTTAGGACATTCCTGTGTTCTTATTGTTTACAATGATAAACAGGATAAAGATGCTCTTAGCTCAGTTCCTTGGATTTATTTTATTCCTATTACCATCTATCTTTTGAGACTAGGAGTCTTTATGAAACATCTTTCTGTACTTCTCTGACCTACTAAGTAAAGCTAAAAAGCATGAGTCAGGAGAGTGATTCCTGTTTCTTGTGAATGTGCTTTTAGAAAAGGTCAGTAAGGGAATTGGATGAGAGGAATACAGCGACCTTTTTTTTTTTTTTTTTTTTTCCTGCTTCAGAGTTTTGTCAATTCTGTCTGTGGCCTCTGAACTATAGGGACTGACTTCTTCCTTCTGACCTGCAAGCCTGAATTTACATACTCAGGTCTAGGAAAAGAAAGAATACTTTCTGTGTCACTTGAATTTTAAAAATTGAAAATTTCTTGGCATTATCGTTTATCTTCTTTTCCAGATTTTTAAGTGAAGGTTTAGATTATTGATTTGAGTTTCACTTCTTTTCTCATATAAATGCTTATACAGTTTAATTAAACACAACTTTAGTTGAAAACCACTGAATTTGGTACTTTTTACATTCAGTTTGCAAAATTTTCTTATTTTCCCAGTGCCGCCTTCTTTAGCCTATAGGCCATTCAGAAGACCAGGCTTAATTACCATGTATTTGGAACTTTAGAAGATATTTCATTGTTCTTTATTTGTAATTTAGTTTTGTTGTCTGAGAGCATATGCCTTATGATTTTAATCTTGGAAATTTACTAAGTCTAGTGCTTTTTTCTAGCTCTATTGAGATATAATTGACATATAACATTGTAGCAGCTTAAGGTGTACAATTTGATGATTTGATACACGTATATGTTGTGAAATGATTATCAAAAGACTATGAGTTAACACATGAATTGTGTCATATAAGCACGATTTGTTTGTGTGTGGTGGTGGTAGTGGTGAAAACATTGAAGATCTATTCTCTTAGCACTTTCCAGCATACAGGACAGTATTGTTAACTGTAGTCACCATGTAATACATTAGATTCCCCAGAACTTATTCATCTTATAACTGAAGGCTTGTTGCCTTTGACCAATATCTCCCCGTTTCTCACATCCCCAGCCCTGCCAACCAGCATTGTACTCTGTTTCTGTGAGTCTGACTTTTTTAGATTCCACATAAAAGTTAGATCATATAGTCTTAGTCTCTCTGACTTATTTCACTTAACCTAATACCCTCAAGCCTCATCCATGTTGACACCAATGGCAATTTCCACTTTTTAATGATGGGATAATCTTCCATTGTATATCATCTTTGTTCCTCCATCTATCTGCAAATGGACACTTGTTTCCATGTCTTGACTATTGTGATTAATGCTGCAGTGCATGTGAGGGTGCAGATATCTCTACAAGATCATGATTCCATTTCCTCTGGATATATCCCCAGAAAGAGGGCTAACTGGATCACATCATAGTTCTATTTTTGATTTTTTGATCAAGTTCCCTACTGTTTCCATACTGACTGTACCGATTTACATTTCCATCAGCAAATGCACATGGGTTGCTTTTTCTCCATGTCTTCTCCAGAACTTGTTATCTTTCGTCTTTTTGATAATAGCCATTCTAATAGCTGTGAAGTTATAGCTCACTGTGGCTTTCATTTGCATTTCTCTGAAACATTTTTTCATTATCTGTTGGTTATTTGCACGTTTTCTTGGGAAAAATTTATTCAGATCCCTTGTCCACTTCTTAATTGGTTCTTTGTTTTTTGTATTGAGTTGTATAAGTTCTTTATGTATTTTGGACGTTGACCTCTTCTTGCATATATTGTTTGCAAATAATGTCTCCCAATCCATAGGTTGTGTTTTCATTTTGTTGATTATTTCTTTTGCTGTGCAGAAGCTTTTAAATTTGATGTAGTCTAATTTTTCTTTTGTTGCTTGTGCTTTTGGTGTCATATACAGAGAACTATTGCCAAGATCAATGTTAAATAACTTATTTCCTATGGCAGGTCTTAGATTTAAGTCCTTAATCCATTTCAAGTTAATTTGTCTGTGTGTGGTATAAGATAGAGGTCCAATGTAATTATTTGGCATGTGGTTATCCAGTTTTCCCATCACCACTCACTGAAGAAACTGTTCTTTCCACATTGCGTATTTTTGACTCCCTTGTCAAATATCAGTTGACCTTATATGCATGGGTTTATTTCTAGGCTCACAATTCTGTTTTATTGGTCTATGTGTCTGTTTTTTTTTTTTTCCCACTTTGTTTGGTTTTGTTTTATTTTATGCCAGTATCATGCTGTTTTCTAGCTTTGTAAAATAAAGTGTGATGCCTCTGGCTTAGTCCTTTCTCATGTTTGTCTTGGCTATTTGAGGTCTTTTGTGGTTCCATATGAATTCTAGGACTATTTTTTTTTTTTTTTTGAATGGTATTGATCTCACAGATGGGTTTGGGGAGTATGGACATTTTAACAATTTTAACTTTCTTTGACTCCATAAACCCTTGGTATCTTTTTAATTTATGTCTTTTTCAATTTCTTTCATCAAAGACTTGTTTTTAGTGTACAGATCTTTATGTTTTTTTAAAGATTTTATTTATTTATTTGACAGAGAGGTCACAGCTAGGCAGAGAGAGAGGGGCAAAGTAGGCTCTCTGCCGATCAGAGAGCCCAATGTGTCTGGATTCCAGGATCCTGAGATCATGACCTGAGCTGAAAGCAAAGGCTTAACCCACTGAGCCACCCAGGTGCCACAAGATCTTTATGTTTTGGTTAAATGTATTCCTAAGTATTTTATTTTTCTTCATGTTATTTTAAAAGGGATTTTTTCTATATTTCTTCCTCAAATAGCCCATTGTTATTACTATATAAAGATGTAACTTATTTTTGCATTGTAATTTTTCATTCTGCATAAACTTACTGAATTCATTTATTCTAACAGTTGTTTGATAGTGTTTTTAGGGTTTTCTATGTATAAGATCATATCATCTGTAGAGACAATTTTACTTCTTTCTTTCTGATTTTGGATGCTTTTTTTTTGCCTAATTGTTCTAGCTTGGACTTCCAGTATTATGTTGAATAAGAGTGGCGATAGAGGTCACCTTTGTCTTATTTCTGAACATAGAGGAAAACTTTCAAGTTTTCACCATTAAGTATGATATTAGCTGTGGGCTTGTCATATATAGCCTCTATTATATTCATGTAGACTCTTTCTATACCCAATTTGTTGAGACTTTTTATGATAGGACGGTGAGTATTGTAAAATACTTTTTATGCAACTATTGAGATGATCATATAATTTCAATATTTTATTCTATTAATGGATACATCTTTTTCTTCACAAATAACCAATCTCTGTAGATAAAGTGTAAAATATAATAGATAATGGATACAAATAAATTTGAATTTTGCTTTTAAAGTTTGATATGTGTACTTTGAACAAGGGATTTAACTTCTTTTATCCTTAACTTTCTTTTATTTGGTAATAATAATAAAATATTAAAGGTTTTTTAAAAAATATTACTTTATTATTGTATAATTTACATGCAATAAAATGTGTCCACTTTAAGCACAACTCAATGTGTTTTGACAAATGTGTATATCCATATAACTGCCACCAGAGTTGATATATAGAACATTTCATCACTCACAAAATTCCCTTTTTATCCCTTTGCTGACAGTTACTTTATCACATACATAGCTTTTGATAATCACAATGTACTTTCCTAACTATAGTTCGTATGACTGGAATGAACCTATATACAGTATTTTGTGTGCATATTCTTGGACTTAGCAAAATATTTTTGAGAATCATCTAGTTGTTCTATGAATCCATAATTTGATATATTTTCTATTAATGAATAGGATTGCATATTTAAAATTTACCACAATGTGTTTATCCACCCATCCGTTATTGGAATCTGAGTCATTTCATTAAGTATCAGACTGTCGTAAGTGTCGGTCTTAACAAAGGAGTGATTTCAAGGGCAAAATAAGATTCTCCCACCAACCTGATATAAACTCACATGGAACAGAGGTGATTCAATTAAAAACCATGACTTTCTACCTTCTTATGTAAAAGGTGCCTTTTTCTTTCTTCCTCAACTGATCAAGGCACCATGGATATAAAGTCATCACCTCTGAGTTACCTTGCTAGACTTTTGTAGGCAGAACTGATCATTTTCCATACCAATGTTCCTACTCTACTTTGTAACTAAAATTTTGGGTGCATTTCTGCTATATTCAATAATAGGGCCAAAAAATTAAATTAGGTTGTGACATTGGGATGGGTAATTAGAAGATAATAATAAGTTTAGGGATCTTCAGCAACCCACAGAGCACTTGCCCTGTAATGTAGGAAGCTTCTCCTCAGTTCTCATGTGCTTCCATGCTAGAATGCAAGCCATGCAGAGTCAGATTTTACTGATCTTTAGAAGAATTTCATGATTTTGTAATTAGTGCAAAATTTGTCAATTTAAAAATGCTATGTCAACCCAAAGGCATTGGTAGGTGAAATACTGCTCTATTTTTTTTTTTTCAGCAAATTCACTCAAAATATATGTACGGAGCACGTAGCATGTTTGAATCCCTGTTTGAGTCCCTGTGCTGAGTGTTGTGCATAGAGTGAATATAAAATGTCAGTCTCTGATCCTCTTGGAATTCATGGCCTGGAAGGAAAGACAAATCTTGAGCCA